GATTTAGTGCTGTCAAAGTCATTTAGCAATGTTTTGACTGATGTTGAGACAGTAAAAGGCTCTCTGTCAACAGTCTGCCTCCTCTTCTTGTCTTCGCATGTCGATGATATTGTTGTTGTGGTGGTTGATGCTGTTTTGCGTTAGAGTCTATTTGTTTTGCGCGTTAGGCTGGTATCACTCGTAGACTGTTAGGTCGTACTACCGATTATAGCAAATCGGCGAGCATATTTTGAAATGGAACAATCGCATTTGGAGAATCTGATGGAGCAGCAGCTTAAAATGATGGTGTTGCTTGCTGGTTTACGGATATCTTCCCCAGTCAATTCATCTCCAGCCAATGACAATGCCGGTAGCAGCGTTTCGAATTCGTCTATGACTCAGATGCAAATACAACGTTCGATACATGGTTGTTCAGATATGAGGACTTGTTCTAAGAAGACTTCGCAAACAGAGACGATCCATGGAAGGTCAGACTGTTACTTCGGAAGTTGAGAGAGGACAAATTGGATAAATATTGCAATTTAATACTGCCACAGAAACTTAGTAATAGAACGTTTGAGGAGACCATGTAGACACTTCGTCATGAGTTTGCTGACGACAGGTCGTTGTTCAACATACGTTACCACTGCATGAAGCTGGTGTTGAACAAAGAAGACGATATTCACACGCAGTTAGATACAGTCAACCCCATCTGTGAACGTTTCAAGTTGAAATCACTTACGGAATATCAGTTCAAAGTCATAATCCTTATTTGGGGGCTAAAGTCCCCAAAATTCGCCAATATACGAACACGCCTATGAAACAGACTAGAGCAGAACCTACAAGTGACATTGAAAGATATTAGAGAAACGTATCAGCAATTAACCAACCTTCGTAAAAATACCACCTTGTTCCAGGCCGGCGGTCGGAGTGCAGCAGAAATACATGCAATGCATCCAGTAGCGGTCATGGCAATTCAACTTCGATACTCAAACGTTGCATCAAGCCTACTTTAACTGACAGAAAATAAAGTGATGCAAAGTTGAAATCTCTGTTTGAGTATGTACGTATTTCACAAACACCGGGGTATTAACTGAGTTAGTTCTCCTTCATCACTCTGCAATTTATCAGTAAAATGAAGTGCATCGAATAATGAATTTCCGTATGGAAAACATTTACGTGCTGTATTATCCATATTGTATATGTTTCATCTATATATTCCAGCTACCTTTTTGGAACATGGCTATCCGTTCAAACATTTTTAAACTTGAGCATACAAGTAATTTTGATAAACAGCTTCATGTTGTGTATGAGAGAAATGACATGTGAAAGAAATCCTGGGTTGTCACAGGACTCAAACGCGATAGTTATTGATGCGTACAAATAAACCAGTATAGTAACCAGAAATATCTCATCTAGTCCGTAATACCTACAGGATTAACGATGCCAATAACCAGAATGTTAGTTAGTAAGGTAATTATCTTCATTTTAGTAAAAATAAAAATCGCCAGAAGAACTTATCAGTTAATGACTTGAATAGCACAGAATCTGGCACTTATCGCAGCTCATTGAAACACTAAACAAAAGAAACAGCAAGATGAAACACAACAGTCATTGTATCCGGAATCAAATGACTAATAACCACAGTAGGCTTGACTACATCGTCTGCAGCCAGTAATCACGGATTTTTGATGAGTAAGGTTAGCCTTAAATATTCATTCAGTTTGGAAGTTTATTGGATTTTGATTTCCAGGTAGTGTTCAGCACAAACTGACATCATTTGGAGAGCCAATAAAAAACTTGTAGCACTGGACAGTTATTTCGTCATAGTATGGAACTCATCATTAGTGCGTACTCATAACCCCAGGACTTCCAGGTTCCACAACAAGCACGTCACCGTTGAGTGAGATGAGACCTCTCGAAGCTCTAATGAGAAGTTGTGATCGGTGGCGCAAACCAAGTCAGACGTGAGGACAGGTATTCAAAGACGGTATAGAACAAAGGTCACCCTATGTTGCGAACCGACAGAAGTAGGAAAATACGGACGACCGGATTCCGACCTAATGGCTCAATGATAAGGTGCTTGTTGCGAAACCTGAAGGTTCTAGGTTTGATTCTTGGAGGGGTCATAAATGTGTACTGTTAAGGAGTCTTGCCCTACGGCAAAACAGCTGTCTAGTGCATCCAGGTTTTCGATTGTTCTCTAACTGATACCATTCAAAGTTGAGTACCAATTTGAAACCAGATAGCAATTGTATATTCTCTTGAGATTAGTAGAACCAGTAGTCAATATACTTTTCTCATAGATGATGTGTGCAAAGAACCACCTAGACTACCTGCATATATGAAGACAAGCAGTTGGTTGCACAGATTATAAGATTTTAATCTGAGGACCTTTTAGCTTACATAAATTGTTCACAGAATAACAACCGATGTAACTGTCGAATCCCAAGTATCCAACACTAATTAAAGTTTATTGATCGAATTTGTAATCAGTCACTAAGCCGAAAGATGTAACATTCTGGTGCACTGTATTCTGATGCTAGATATCAATTGGTAGGAAGCCGTTGAAGTAGGTTCCGTGTCTGCTGGTACTGATCAGCACTTCGGTTTGCTCATAATTAAGAGTTTCAAACATCCTAATCAATAGCTGGTCATAATTATTTTGAAACCATTAGAATTATCTTATTAGTTGTACTTACCGACACTATACCAATACGCAAGTAATATCAGCGGTTGTCTTGAGATATGCTCATCAGAGATCCATTCTGATATGTGATATGAAATAGTTGCGTATATATACAACATCAAACCAACGTGTTACTAATCATTGGTCTGACGCTGCTGAGGGTACTTCACTTGGGTCACTGAGACATTGGAAGTTAGTGGTTGGAAAGTTTGGACGGAACACGATTAGATTAGTGTAAATGCAATCACTCTATTTTAATCGAAGTGTCAAATGACCAGTGATTGCTGAACTTCTCCTGGCTTGCCTATTTATGCCATTCTTCTAGTTAACTCAATGATTTGATTGTATCTAGACTTGATATCAGGTAGCATATTCTGTTTATTTGAGCCACTCCCTATAGTTGCTTTGACAATGAGTAAGTAATTCGCACGGTACGTTGATAGTATTTCTGAAAGCTCCGAATGTAATTAAGCTATGCGGCATAAGTATTATGCTCTTTCATGAGGTGGACGACTCCTACTTAGGTTTCTCCTGATAATATGCAAATAGTAGTATTTCTTTATTCTTTATCTCGCTGTAAAACTTAAACTAACAATCCATCTTCAACAGTTGTCGACTATTTGCCTATACTACACACAGTTCTGATTACTGCACTTCTAACAAACGTAAGAAACAACACCTTTCCAAGCTGAATTAAACAGTTATTGATCCTGCTAAAGAACCGTATAAATAGTTGCTTCTCCATAAGCTATCGATTTCCTGATAAGCAAATCTTAACCTGATACTGGGTGATAATTGAAGGTGAAATAAAAACGTCAGTCGCGGTAACATTCAAACTGGTGGCTGTATCTTGTAAATCACAGTTAGCAGGGCACTGAGTTGGTAACCCGTGGGTAGTTGGTTAGAATCCTGGCGGGAACAAAGTCGCCTTCAGTCATCACCCGTCGTTAATAATACCACTTGGCCAAACTATGGTTATCTCAGAGGATCTCACTAAAAATCTCAGACTTTAGGTTTTTTTCTCCTTCTCTGGGCAAAACAATCAATATTAACAAATGACCAGGCATTACTGCACAACAGTTCAAGATGACACACATATCAGCACATTAGGTAATAAAACAGTAAGATGAAAGATGAAGAAGGAAAGAAAAATAGATCAGCGGAATTGCAGTGAAATAAAAGATAAGAAAGAGAAGTAAGAACATGCTGGATTCACTGTGATGTTTAAGATAAGAATGAAGTGTAGATATATCTGTGCCACTGACATCAATCCTAATCCATATCACAAAAGTCCCCAACCACTGATTTCTCTTATCCCGTGGACACCAACCAGGTTAGTCTGTATCACCATACACGGATCAAACCAACAGTCAAAGACTTTATGCAATGATGTCATGTTTTAGTCTGGCCGCTCCGAGCCTTTTCCCAGCCAGAACATACTTCTGTTAACAATGTGTGACTAGGCAGATGGTGGCTAGGTGCACGTAACACATTTCCCAGCCATCTCGGTCGATATAGGCTCACAACCTCAAGGGATTTACCTCTCCTCCCTAAAATTCTACACCTGACTTCTGCTTTACTCACACGGTGACACCACGATACACGACCAGTGCTACGAAGGCAACGATGGTCAAACGCTAGGAGCCTTTTGATATCCTCTACCTTTAATGGCCGTGTTTCATAGCCATACTGTAGGACAGAGCGAACTACGGCACAGCACAATTGAGTGTTAATAGGCAATCGGATATCACGGCAGCGCCACGGATGGCGTAAGTTGGCAAAAGCCAGTCAAGCCTTTTGTATCCGTACAGAGACATCGTCGGCCACTGAGCCACCAGGGCTGATCAGACTTCCCAACTAAGTGAAGTAGCGAACATGCTTAACCTTATGAGGAAGCAATCACTGTTGCATAACTGTAGCTTATCCTGTCCAAATTCCTACCAGCTTAGTAGGAAAGCTCGAATCGTATCCCTAATTATCATTTGTTTTACCAACAGTAACATTTCCAATCGTTGAATTATTGAGATTACAGACATAAGTCAGTGTGAAAAATTATTGAATTATTAGATTACACCAACATCTTGAAACCAAATGATGTCCACGACAACACTTGTGAACCCATTTGAGAAAAAGGGATTCGAACAAAGAGTTCTGACAACAATACATTTTTCATATATACACATACATTATCATATTAGCATACTTGTGAATACATATGCCCAATACAGTGAAAGCCCCTGACTGAGGCAGATGAATAAAAATATGCAAACAAAGCAAATAAAAATCGACCTGTCAATACAGGCTTCTGAAATAAAGATCTGAACATTTTAAATTATTTTCCATTTTCTTTAAATTGATACGATGTTACTGGTTCTGTCATACTTGGTCGCTCACATTCTAAAATCATTAAGCGTGTTAGTAGTTCCGGTAGACTTGAATAACACCGAAGAATTTGTTTTCTTGATGGGCCATCAATAACAATGGTACGGACTAACTTTCCTTTATACAGAAATAAGTTTCTACTCAGTCGAATTTCACAGCCTGTTCTTACTTCCAAACTAAGAAAGATATGCTTCATTTTACGGTAAATAGTGAGAAATTTGATACTGTCTGATTTTTCTTGATATATAAATATTGTGTAACGTAACCATCCATTATGGATGGATGTGAAACCACTTTTAAGGGTATTGTCGCCTATTTCATCCGCATTGGTGTTACTTTCACTTTTTTGTTCCCACTTAATCAAAAATCTGTTTAGATGAGCTTTATGATTTTCTAGCTCACCGTTACGTAACCATTCTACTATATCGGGTATATCTGACCGTAAGACAGTAAATCCGAGTATGGATGTACTTATCAGTGGCCAATAACTTTGTTCAAATGTCTCTAAATCATTATTTTTTAGACTATTGTCTTCACTGAAGTGTTTATGATTTCTTGAATTCGTACTCGCCTTTCTAATATGAAAATAATTATGCCTTGACTTATCTTTTCTAGAAATTTGATGGTCAGGAGGATTATCGAATAGAATAGGATCCCAAGTTTCAGCGAAAGATGAACTAGTTTCACAATCATAATATACATCACCGTCTGGTTTTAATGATAAAGGATAATTAAGCCAAATTAAACCATTTTTATCAATCTCTTGTATATCATTACTTAACTGATGTGACTTATTATAATTGACTACATTCCGATGACGCAAATCACGTCCATCTTTATGCGATGTTGAATGGATATAATTTGCATCACTGGTTAAATCACAAATTACATGTGATCCCTTTTCTTTGATATTATCACCAGCTCCTTGTACTTCATGTGAATTATTATTTCCACATGCTAATTCACAGTTGATGAATGGATTTTTAAGCTTATAGCTTAAAGGATTAGGTTCATCATGTGTTGAATACTGAGAGTCCCCTGCCTTTGTTACTTTTAAACAGTTTCCCATGAAACAAACGTCATTCAATGAGTTCAAATTTATAAACTTTAGCGATGCTTACTCTAGCTGACTCTATATATAGATAGTACTAAATGAAATACATGTATATTTATATACCTAGTTCTTCATTTGATAGCTTATTCTCAACAAATAAGAGTAGAACGAACTGATCCATTTTCAAAAATTATTCCCATCGATTGTATTACAAGTTGTCAATACATATTCCAGACAAGTCATGGGATAAATTAACATTAATCATTGAAGAGAATTACATATCCTCCTTCATTTTAATATCTAACTTCACCTTGCAGGAAAGTTTGCATGTTATTGCAAACATGTTATTTGTCAGTGAACGCTAAGAAGAAGGCTATACGTTCACTTATCAAAATAGTTAACCTAATCAGGATGAGAATAGGTAAGAGAGGAAAAAACAAAACTAAAAGACTAAATCAAGGCACAAAAGAATACACTTAAATGTAATACTAAGAATGTAATTAACAATTGAACCCAGCTAAAGCATGTAATTTTCTGCACTGGTTTATAAACTATACCTGACTGCTACAGTATACTTGATTACAGGATGCTTGAATTAACTTTCATTAAAATAGTTATCTAAATTTACAGCATGATTTGTAAAAGATACATATATGAGGATTAAATACAAAACAAACATCAGTCAATTGGAGTTTGTGAATTGACTAGTTTCTACAAAGTCTAATAAAATATCCCAACCTGGTGAGGTCACCCAAATCGACTGTGAGGACAAATACTCTTCGATGGCATTAAATGACGGCTATACTTTACTGTCATTTGATAGTAATTGGGAAATATGAATCAATAAATCTCAACGAAAATGGTTAACTTGTAGTGTGTTCGTCATGAGACCTGGTGCTTCTTGGGTGATGGATTTGTACTGCTGAGAAGTCCTATACAAGGAAGAAACAACAGTACATTGCTCCCTAGTTTTTAAAGGCTTTCCGAATGACTTCCATCCAGCTGACAGTGTTTCTTCATACTTTAATTTTCTTCTTCTTAATATTATACTTCAGAAAAGTCGTATGGCCCCCAAATCTAAATTACCTCTACATCACGATGGTTTATGAAACTGGATTTTAAAGTTAACCAATAACAGTATAATACTAAGTAGTTCAAGACTAGGAAGAGACATTTCTTAAGTGTTTTCAGCCGTTCAGTGTTTCCCTAACCGATAACACTCCATGATGAAGACTGTTACTCGAATTTCCAATCGAAAGCCAGAGCACTATTGACCTATCTGAGCGACATAACAAACAGTTGTGGTATTAAAGTTCCTGGAAGTACCTGGACACATAGCGTGTCGACATGAACGGTTCTGCTCTACACAATGTAAGGTCTCGACGCTCAGAGCTAAAGATGCCCCACCACTATTGTCTCTGCAGGATTGCTCGCTTCCCGTAATCCTGAGGTCAGGCGTGATGAACATCGCTATTTGTTAAACATGGCCATCTTGAAGCACCGGCTACGGAGATTTAGACACACGTTACGAATGTCATTAAAGCGGCTCCCACAACACTCGGTGTCTGCCCTGAAACTGGCTGAATGGAGAAAAGAGGTGGTCAGTATATGTGGAGCCTTGAGATGAAGGACAGTTATGCTGAGTTAGTACTTTCAAGTCCCTTATGACTCCCTGTATGGCGTCCGAGCGATTTCGGAAGTCAGTGACTTCAGACACTAGCCTACATTTCTCGCTTCTTCTATTACTGGGAAGCAAACCGAAAGTTGTGAATGCTTCTTAGGATGAACTGCTGAGACTGCTTCGACAACCCATTTGTATTTCTATTCTTTTCTCCTCTTTCTGTATAACGTCTCAGTGTCGTTATTATTGTGTGTGGAGGATTTATTGCTGGGAATGTTCCACTAAGTTTGTGTCATAAATAAGACAAGAAGTATTTCACCTATGGTCTATAACCACTGAATCATGAAATTTGTTAGACCTTACCAAGTAAGGTTATGCCTATTTGTCTATGGGAGATAAAATTAGAAGAATAACCAGAACTTTAATATTTATTTCGTTAATATCACGTGCGCTAATGTAGTCTCCGAAGTTTGAGAAAAGCCTAGCTTCTACATAGGAATTTGAACCAGCTACATCATAATCACAAACTGACGCTTTAACAAGTAACCTAAGAGATTCAACTGCTAACCAAATTTCAATCTCTTTTCAAATGTTCTGCCCAATTATATTTAAGAAAATAGTTTGTTTCACACGACTGGTCATCATCTGACTATCACTCGGTATTAGCTCCAACGAACATTATCATTCGAGGTCAAAAAAGTTAGTAATTCTATTCTTGTGAAATCTATCACCCGAACGGAACACATCATTTGGCTTGACAATCAATGAAATTAACCCAGAACCTAGTCAGTCAGAAACTGGTAACAATTTGAACCTTAATTCCTCTTGAAATCTGGTCGTATGATAACATATGACTGTCAATACCCAGTATGTAAGTACCTGCTTCGTATAGACATATAATAAATAACTCAGTAAATATTCTACAATTTTGGGTATGCTTAAGATTTTCTGATGTTAACGTACAAGAATGAATTAACCATCTGTGATATATTAATTTTTTATGCGATTAAGTGGATATTACAGTAATGTTTGAAATAGGTTAGGAATGGAAACTCCAGCTTGAGAATTTCGGTCAATTCAAAGTTCCTCCGATGAATACACCTTGATCTTGGTAAGTACTTGTTTACGTAATTCCGAGAAGTCATTAAGATAATAACTCACTGTTCAAAGTATGTCAGTAGTTACTAATATGCCTCTTGTTATCGATTAACAGGATCTAGTTCATGAATCAATCATAACAAAACAAAAGAATCACTCATATACACTCTGAAGTAAGAGGAGATGAAACTAATCCCATTGTAGTTTACTAGGCATCTGAATAATATCTGAAGCTATGAAATGATAAGTGGCTTGGTGTTTTCTTTACCTTAGTTCTGAGTAAAAAACCTAATATAACTTTAGCTTCTTACTAACACTTACGACTTCCCTTATTCTTCTTTTATAGAGGTGAGTTCCATAAATCAACTCTACATTTAAAAAATATCTGGAACTCACATTCCTTTACTTTATTTAAGCTATCGATATATTATTACTTCTTGTTAACATACTTGTAATTCTCCGCTGTTATACTGGATCTAATTGTTTGACCTATGTTGGCATATGGGTTCCTATGCAGATGCCTCGATACTGCCTGAATATTTATCATGGTAGTTTACTTGGTTATGACCAGCAGATGAACCAAGGACACGCGTTTCGTCCTGTTTGGAACTTGTCGGCTGGATGTATAAAATCACTCACTGGAGTGCAGGTACATCCGGCTGACGAGTCCCAGGCAGGGCGGAACGTGCGTCCTGGATTCCTCCGCAAGCCACAACTAAGTAAATTACTATCGATACAATACCGCGCGATGAATGCAACCTAGCACACAGTCCTCTGTGTGATAATTATTTGGTAGTTTGCAATCTGTGATATCGGATAATGAACGCTGAAGCACCATGCTAGATGGCTTCATCAACACTTTATACAACAGTAGAATTGTTTTGTTCGTTTAAATGATCGGACAGATGTTTTAGTAACTGAGTTATGGATTTCTGATTGCAACAACTGTAGGACAACCTATCGTAGTATGGCACTCAAATAAACGGTGATCTCACACATTTAAGCCTGTCTAACATACTGATTAGATGAAAGTGATAGCCCACTTTTCAAAGTTGTAAGCTAAACCAACAATTCAAGATCAAAAACCCGTTCTAGAAAGATTTTTCTTGTGTGACACAAGAAATTTAACGTCAAACAGACATATTGATAAGACTGCATAGCTTCCAGATAAAGTGAAAATCCTGTTTAAATACTCGTGCAACCGAGAAAATACGTATCATTTTCGTATAAATTAATTGAGGATGAAATCGAGAACTAACAATAAATGCAACGAACCAACTACATACATGCGTACGGATTCAGAGATAAATCCAACATATCGAGCGACTAACAAGTTACCTAAACATCAATCGTGGGACGAAATCCCAAAGTGAGACTTATTGGTTGATGAGTCCACCGAATCTAAGGATGAAACATCCCCATTCATACGTAAAAGCCAGTACAAAACTCAACATCCTGCACAAAAAGCTCGTTTATCTCGTGTTTATTTCTTAGCGAGTGGTGTACTTTATCGATCATCCCAGTTTGAAGGAGGGAAATCTTGCAGCAACCATAGCGGAATTAGATTGACTGTTAGTGTGCCAAAGATCCCAGGATCCATAGTTATCCGACGCCTAACTGGAACTCAGGGCTTCAGGTGTTTGACCATCGTTGACTTCCTAGCATAGGCCGTGCTTAGTGGTGTCACCATGTGAGTAACGCAGAAGCCGGATGTAGAGTTTTAGGGAGGAGAGGTAAGTCACTTGATGAAATTGTGAACCTTCATCGACTGAGATGGCTGGGAAATGTGTTACGTATACCTAGCCATCATCTGCTCCTTCCCAAAATGTTGGCCGAAGTAGTTTCATGCTGAAAAAACGCTTGGGTGGCCAGAATAAAACATGACATCAATGCATGAAGTTTTCGACTGTTCGTGTGAACCATATCGGGTGATACTGACTAGTCGGTTGGGGGTCCATAGGACAAGAAAAACCAGTCGTTGGAGACTCTAGGAGGTACGGTTCACAACTAACGTCAGTGGCGCGTCTTAACCGCTATACTTAATCTTTTCGTTTTCTTCCCATTTTTTACTACTTTCAACTTCTTGTAACCGATTTCCTTTCGTCCATTACACTGCCTTGTTACTTGATGTGCTGATGAGGTGTGCCAACTCTTTAGAGGTAATCTGGTTGATTTGGAGCAAACAGACGGTGTTGTCCTGCTAGGTGAAGATACTGACAAAATGCAGGGTCGTCTGAACACGTTAAGCAGAATTCTGAGTGTCTGGCATTTCGATAGCGACTGTCAAATGTGAGATGGTGCTCCAGAGCTGTTGTGCTGCAAGTACTGCCAGTTTAATAATAAGGAAGTGGAATAGTGGAATGTGTCAACTACTTCACCTATTTTGAAAGCTGCATTAGCGCAAACGGGTTGCTTGCTGATGGAGTCTTAGATCGGATGCAGAACGTCCATCTGCCATTTATCAACTTGCATCATCTGTGGCACCGAAAGGCGAAAGATCCGACTATCTATCAAAGGACAAGTATACTGCTCCACCGCAGTCCAATTTGTCCTGCAGTGCAGCTGACATAACCGTCAAAAGAAGACATGAAGTGATTATTAGGTTTTGATCACGGATATCTTCGTAGCATTGCTCGCGTTTGGTGGAATCACTACGTGAGCAGTCCTGAGGTCAGGCGAAGGGTACTAGGCATTCATGAGCTTGTGAACCTTAGTCGACTGAGATGGCTTGGACATGTACTGTGTATGCCGAGCCATGCTAGGGGAAATTGAATTAGATTGGAAGAGGGTTCAGAGTGGCCAGTCCAAGATATGGAACCAGTCAATGAAGCCCCTGACTGTTGACCTGATTCGTGTAGGGAGATGTAGACTGCGTGCTTGTGGTCCCCGAGATGAAAAGAATTAGTGGTCCAAGACTGTTCGTCACATGTCTGAAAGTCGGTCACAGTGGCACAGATGTATTTACTCCTCGACGTCTTCTAAAGCCTGAATATTCACAACAGCCTGTCTTCAGATTGTTTTTTCTCTTACACAACCTTATCTACCTAGATATCAGTCTTTTCCTATCCAACTTTTCTTTGTGTACTACTGTGAAGTGTGTTGACTTGAGCCATTGCATCTGTGTGCGAGGTTCTACGTTGACTTTTCCAGTCACAAACTTTTTATTTCATATACATTAACTTATTTATTAACAAAACAAAATCGGTAATTTTCTTTTATCGAACACTTCTATCCAAACTGAAATTCATTCAAATATTTCTTACACCTAATAGCAACCGTTCTGTTCCATAGTGAACAACACCGGTTACAGTGCTCACCAACAAATAGATAACAGGGGATATTATATTAATCATAACTAACCATTTGTTTTCAAAATTATAAGATTGTCACACTACAGTTGAAGTCATTCATATGAAGATCAAATATCGGGTTGCAGTTGTCTACTCATAATTTGCCAACAAGATAACGAAATTTCTACACTAACACCTATATAAACTAAAACACTAGACAGAAAACCAAAAAATACAAGACGTAGTAAATATAAGATAGACAGGTCAAATCAAAGTAGAACCTCACCCATAACCCCATTGGTTCAAGCTGCTACATTTCAGAGCAACATGCAAAGAACACGCGGACAGAGAGACTGACACCAAAGTACACAAAGGTGTATGGCAGAAGAAACACCTTGAAATTGAAGGCTAGTCACAACATTCAAGCTTTGAAGACGTCGAAGAGTGAATACAACTACACCATTGTGATTGATTTCCAGCCATATCACCAAGGGTCGTCAACCACTGATTCCTTTCGTCTCTTGAACCCCAGCCAAACAGTCTGCATCGTCCCACACAACTCATGCCAACAGTTACATACTTCGTGTATCGGCGCCACGTCTTTGTTTGATCACTTAATGGTATTTCCTAATTCTCTTCATAGAGAATTATTCAAATATAGGGTCCCTAAGTGAAAAATGTACTTAGCTAATGATAATTAGCCAACAATTGTTGCTTTAGACTGAAGTCAATGATTTCAAGAGGAGCTACCGTTTTAAACGCTAGCCCATCCCACAAACCCCCACGTGGCTAAAAAGACACATTTAGCAGACAAGGCCGCTGACAACAAAGATGGTTAAAATATTCCAAATAACATAAATAGCCATTCCTGTGAGCTGAGAAGACGGTCAACCAAAGTGTGTCATCAGAGCACCGTCTGAATAGTCTTCATGACTCCAATGTACCTCAACGGCACTCCATCCAACGAAACACCACATACAAGCTTGCAAAGTTATACACTACCTCAAATTAGAGACCGTGACTAGAAGACAGCTTTGGATACTTATATCTAACGACGTTGTAAGAGTTTCCTGCCGAGTAGAAGGAAGATCCATCTTTGTCGAATTAGTTGATCTAACATAACATTCACGTGCAAAATAACTGATGATCACTAACAGAAGTCAGTTCCACAAGGATTGCAGTCAATTGCGGATGGCCAATAAACCAGTCTATGAATTCCTTCATCATAATTCCAGTGGTGATTGACGCCCTAACTCGGATATGGGAAGAGGCAGTCGGACAGTTATTGCTATATTCTCACCACACCCCTTATCTTGCTGGACACGAGTGTGCTGTGTTTACAAACGTTACCGAAATGGTCCACTAGCCAAAAAACCGATTCGGTTAGTCCTTACCAGAGCCACACCTCACGATAGCAGCCGCCAGGTATTCCTGTAGTTAAAGCTTTCTTAAAACATTCAACTCATCTAGGGAACCCTTCTACACTGAAATGTACCAAGTTCAAGAAAACTAGTGCATCAGACTAACTTATCCGCTTCTCGGTAGCCACTGGTTACCAAGTCAACCTGAGTTTTTCACTTCAAATTATATACACAGTTCACTACAGTAACCGGAGCCAAATCAATACTTGTGCCCAGTACTCCACCACTGAATGGCAATTTCCTCCGTCACAGCAAACTCCAACAGAAACAAATACAGAAAAACCGCAACATAATGAGGACAACCCATATTTCCAGAAAACTAGGAATATCCCCGCTGTCTCCATTACTCATACCCATTCATATTATTCACCACACTACATCCGGCTACGTATTGCGAACTTCGTAATCATCGTTAGTTGATACGCTCACGCATTCTCTGGAAAGCATGCGTATTCAACGAGGTGGGTGATCTGGATAGTTCGCTAAATAGATAGATAACTGCGTTAGCAGTGGTTTTCATCAAGCCATTAACTCCAACCTAAACTTTAAATATGGATAATGCAAAAACCCTACTAGAAACTCAGATATCACCAGTGAGGCCACTTCGGTGGAGACCTGCTAGTAAACAAGAAGTCAGGCGTGTCATCCAGAAAAGTCGAATACTTTATTTTTACTTGAATATTTTGCCTTGGTTGAATGGTTTGTCTTGGAATTTGTGGGTGAAATAGTCATGCACAAGACGCTTAGTTTCTTCCATGGAAGGGTCCAACTTTCGCCAGTTGTAGGACTCGTAGTCGATTTGAAGATCTTCATCCATCTCAAAAACAAGACCAGTGCCGCGCCAGATCCAAAGACCACTAACAGTGTTATTGTTGTTCTCTCCGAAAATGCACATACTAGCAAATGCATATTTGATCATCCTGTAAAAGGAAGAATGAGGTGGATCAACTGTTAATTGTTTACGGAGACGAAGTTGAAAACCAACCCTGAACACAAAATGAAACTTAAACTCCTAGGCACCATGTAAAAGCGTATGAATCCTTATTAGTTTACGTTGCTGTAATTAAACAAAGTGGATATCAAATGAGTAGCTGGATTAAGGGTCTTCAACGCATATCTACAAATTGTACGTATTATATGCACATCAGAAAATATGCAAGAAAAATACTCACTTTTCAACTCGTTGGAAGAATCCACTCACAAGATTACATGTCATGAAGATCAACGCAAGCTCTTCAGGATACTTGTATTCACAGAACCATATAGAATGTGTTTCTGGATCAAAGTTACTCCAGAAATATGGTATTGCTTCTTTTTCAATATCCATATTGCTGTAAACTCTTTTGAATGCGTCCATGTCAAACTTCCCTGCAGGTAAATTTGCAAGAGGATTTTTGCTCGGCTTGGGACGTTCCTCTTCCTCTTCTTCATCATCATCAACGGGCTTTTCCTTCTTAGCTGGAGCCTCCTTCTTGGGCTTTTCCTTCTTTACTTCCTTCGATGGCTTAACATCAGAAGTCTAACCATGATAAATTATTACTTCACGCTTACCTTTGAGTGTAACGCTGCATATTTCTTGGCATCAAACTGAGCAGCCTTGATACAGAACGAAGACTCTCCTACTACTTTGATCACCTCCGGTTGGTTTGCAACAGTAGTATACCAGCGTACAACATGAGGAAACGGCTTTCGATCCTTTTCCTCATAAACGTGCGTAAACAACGGATGGAGTGCAGTGAATACAGTAATATCGGCTTGAGACAACCGATCACCTACAAGGAAAGTCCTACTTTAATGAAATGCATTTGGGAAAACCTACACCTTGCTAAGCTGCTCGTTCAGAAACTTTAGTACAGACGCCAAGCAAGTCTTGGCTTTATCTGTGCTCTGTTTGTTGAACTGTGTGATCCCAAGACACGGATACACCCATGTAGCAACTGATGGAAGTATGCAATTGTCTGCATAGTTAGCCCACTGCGTTACGTAATTCGCATTTTGTCCACCTTTAATTTACGTATCAGTATGTAAACTACACACCTCTTAATTGATCGGTTCCCAAATAATATGCTATGGCATTCACTTCAAAAAGACAAGTGCCATCTTGTGCTTCAAATACCGGGACAGTAGCAGGAGGAAACTTGGCAAGAAAGGATGCATCAGTATCTGTTTCGCCGGGGATATAGTTCACAACCTTCAGATTTGCATTGCTGAACTGAGCAGCTATTTGAGCTCTCCATGACCTGTGGTATCCTTGTGGAGTATAAAGAGTTCCTGAAACAGTCATTCCGATTGACACTCAAAGCGTGCCAGTAGCCCGTTAATTTAAAAGTGCGACAAATTTGACAATCATCACCGACCACTATTAACAAACAAAAATTTATCGTTAACAAAAAATTCATTGATTAGTCACTGAAAATATGGAAACTGATAGATATCACAGATAATATGCATTTATTAACGAGAAGCGAATTGTTCCAACATTCTCAGGTTACTTTTCAAGCGTATACATGAAGGGATCAACAGTTCGACATTTTCGTAATAACTTCAAACTTCGTGTTGTAGAATTAGTGAACTGCGGTTCCTTAGGTTCTACGTCTGTCTTATTGGAATACGTTCTGAGTTCTGAATGGTCACAATTATCTTCCGAGTTCGGAAAAACCTGAAAGGATAGAGATACAGTTAATTAATTAATCTGGTCTCAAGTTAGTATTACTGCATCTAATGGCTCAAATGGTTGTTGATGGAATAGAAGAAGCTTTCGCTTAACTGGCTTCCGCGTCAACAGTCCGTGAGTCACTACTCCCTTTGGTTATTAACCTGTTGTACAAGTAAAGAAAGGTGGAAAAGTCGCGATTAAAATGTGAAAATTCACTTAGTTGTGGGCAGATCCCAGACACACATCAAGCGGGCATCCAGCCGGCGTTTAAAAGATTCAGACGGAACAGCCTGGATCACGTCCTCAGGAAGAGCGTTCCAGGGTTTAACAACTCTTAGGGAATAGAAGTTGTGCCTGACGTCCTGCCTACTTTGTTCCAGGCTTAGTTTCTGTGCAAATCCTCTAAGATTAGCCTTGCAGGTAAGATTTATTAAGTGTTGGAGTAGATGGCCAGGTGTGCTCAGAATGTTGTAAGTCATTATCAAGTCACCTCATAGCCTTCTGTATTCCAGAGGATATAGATCAGGCGCAACCAGCCGTTCATCGTATGTTTTGACCTGAGTCCTTGAACAGATTTTGTCGAACGCTTCTGGATGCATTCCAAGCTCAGTTTGTCCCTCTGGAGATAAGAGGGGAAGACGATGGTCTCAAACTCAAGGTGAGGCCGTATGAAGCCGTCAAAAATCTGGCGGAAGCATCTACAATCGAATTGCCCGAAAATTCGTCTAAGAGTTACTGACGCGAAGTTCCCACGAAGTGCGTTTCTGCGACAGTTAGCATAGGATTTTAAGTCCTGGGGGACCAACATGCCCAAATTCTTTTCCGTCAATGATGCTTCAAGTTCCATGTTTTGTGTGTATTACCTTGCATTCCTCAGGATTAAATTCGAGCTCATTGTTGACTAACCAACTGTGAAGTCGAGTTAAGTCTCCCTGTGGAGAAACACTGCCTTCGTCACTTTTAATTTCCCCCAGAGTTCCACGTCATCGGCAAAAAGAAGGATTTCGGAAGAGACCAGCCGAGGCAAGTCGTTTATGTATATTGGAAAAAGGGCAGGCCCTAGTACTGAACCTTGGGGAACACCGCTAGGACATTCTGCTTCTTAAGACACAGAGAAACTCACCCGAACTCTAAATGAACGGCCCCGTAGATATGACGACAACTAGTCAATGGGCGGAGGTCGAATCCCAATTAATTTTAGTTTATCTATAAGACAGTGATTAACACGGTCAAACGCCTTAGCGAAGTCTAGGTAGATAACGTCAATTTGTCCTCGACGGTCGACAATGCTAGTCCATCTATCTACTGCAGTGAGTAAACTGGTAATACAGTAGTACCCCTTTCGAAATCCATGTTGTTGGGTGCAAAGAAATTTGTCTTTGTGAGGTAATCCCTCAGTCCACTGTATATCAACGATTCCATTGCTTTGGAAGGAATGGATAAAAGTGTCACCGGTCTGTACTTCTTTGGATTGCTTCGTTGACCCCCCTTGAAGACTGGCGTTGTGTGGTCCGGCTTCCAAGAGTCAGGTACTATTCCCTGACTCAGAAAACTCTTAAATAACTTACTTAGGGGTTCGGACAAGATTTAGGCCCCCCTCTCAGTACCATCGGATGGATTTTATCTGGTCCCGGAGAGGTGTCTCTGGTGGGCAGTAGCAGTTTGCGCTGTACTAGCTCAACGCTCAGGTCGACCACTGAGAGTCCTTCTTCTCTAGTGGGATATTTGTTAGCTCCTCAGTGGGTGGACGATGACGAAAAGATTTGCAGAGACTGGTCGACCAAGAGCTCAGCTGCTTCAGTGTCTCCATTAGTCAGTCCGTTCGCACCTAGCAGTTGAGTGACTTTCGCTTTAGCCTGCCGGAATGAAGCAGGGTAGCGAAAGAGACTTCTTGGGTTAGACACAAACACGTTTGTGAGCCTGACTTGATGCCGCTGCCGATTGGCTCTCAAAGTTTTCGCACACGTGTTTCTTGTCTGTTTGGATTGTCTGTAGGTACATTCGGTGCCAATCCTTTTGTGATCAGCCCAGTGATGTCTCTTCAACTTAAGTAGTTTGCGAGTGTGGTTCCTTATTACCTTAGGTAACTTGAAGCACTTCTGCCTCGAAAGTGTACAGACTGACTGGTCGCATGCATGATCTTGTCAAGTATGAATTTCCAATGGGTGTTCGTATGTTGCCATGCATGGCTAACTTCCCGATCTGTCTGTTCCAGTGCGGTTACAAGAGCCGGAGTGTTGAGTCGTCCGAAGCTCCAACGATTTTCATTGAAAGGTCTGGTTAGGTTGGTTTGGGAAACAAATTGGAAGCCGATGACAACGTGGTCACTACTGCCCAAAGGAGGTGGGAATGCTAAGTTGTCTACCAGGAATTCTTCATTCGGGAAGACGCAGCCTAAGCGAGATGGAGTTTGAGCCTCCCCAACTCGCGTCAACGTTCTCACATTTTCCGTAGGCCCCAGCCCCTCAGTCAAGCGGAAGAATCTGGCTTCAATAGTGTCGTAACTCCCGCTAAACGTGCGACCTGCAAAGTTGACCTTCGGTGGGTTAAAATCTCCTAGAATCAGCATGTATGTGTGCCTCAGTTTAAGAAGGCAACTGATTGCCTCCAGCATCTGGTTGGCATATTGTGATCAGCAGACGGTTTCCCGTAAATAACTTCCACCAAGCACTTTGTGGTCCCGAACAGCTTTATGGTGCAGCAAACGGACTCTTCAAGGCATTCCAGTTCCTGGATATGGATTTGGTGGGCTGAAAGGGAGGAGCTGATGTAAGGTGTTACCCTACCTCATCCCTAGCAGCCTTCCTGTCACTGCAAAACAGCATGATATTAGCAATTGCCAGTTCCTGGTTCGACATGTCAGGCGAAGCCCATGTTTCAGCAACACCGATAAGGTGAGCACAAGTGTCTCTGCTTGGGTCCCACAGCTCGTCAAGTTTGTTCAGTAAACTTTGTGCATTAGTGTAGATGCAACTTATGCTCTGTACTTGGAGTGCAATGCCCGCACCCTCTCTATTGACCAGTTGACTGGCTGGTTCCTCAGGCGTGGGGGTTGGAAATATGCCTAATCGCTGACTACTGGTGTAGTGTTCCCGCCCCTTCCCCGTTTTTCGCATCTAGAGAATCTTCCAGAGATACAGCTAGTTCCAGTATTTTCTGTCTTCCTTGCAGCCTTTCGTGCGGCAACCTCTCAGGCCGCATGCGGACTGCAAATGGCAGGCGATTTCTGTTCGTCCAGAAAGCTTCCAGTGTGGATGCTGCCACTTGAGAGGTCGGAAAGACCACTTTGATAAGCCTTGGTCTGGGGTCATCGTCGTTTTTCGGTATGCGTGAGAAGCCCTTGGTGATTACTTCCTTCAAGTTCATAGTATTCTCGATGAACTTCCACTCGCGAGAATCGTGGCGAATATCCTCGGTGCCTGGGTTCTCTGGTATGCCTTGCATTATTCGATCTCTTCCTCTGAAGTAGGCGTCACGATTGTCACCCGACAGAGGGCCTTTCTCTCACAATGTGGGATGTCCGGTAGTATCCTAACTTCCGCTTCAGCTTTTAGCACGTGAGATGCCAAGAGTACATCCTCAACATCCTCTAGGCTGGAGAATGTGAGCCTCAAAAGACGGGGTTTGCCCTAAGTTATTGGGTCCAAACAGCGAGAAAGCCTTGTTGCAGCTACTGGTTCCGCGTGGTCCAGCTTGAGTTTTCTGCATACGTTCTCCCAAAGAACCCTATCATTCTGGTCCTGAAGGCTATGTAGGAGTTCAGGGCTGTCTGCCAGGTTCATGACGATCAAGGAATCATTCTGGACATTGGTATGTCTTGTCAACTGTTGACGCTCGGTCGTTTTTGTTGAGCTTTCATCTTTTCTCCAGCTTTGCACCCGTTCACGGGCAACACGTTTGCTTGTCTGACAAGCTGGTTAGTGACTGGCATGGTCTGATGTCCTTTCCACTTTCCTGAGGACCAATGTTTACGCTCCCTGATTTCGTGATTACCCAACTTGGGTTTGTTCCCTGGATTTCTCACCTTCCCAGATCCGATGGGTTTGACTGCAGTTGAAATTCGCTTGTTATTATTTCGTGCAATGGTTACCCATTCTCCATCTTGACCATCTTCGTTTGGCATAACCGTCTCATTTTGTGCCTCATCTGTCGACGACAAAATCCGAGTGAAGGACTGTAGGACAGCTGATGTTACTGCACTACTGAGGTGCATAATGTCCCCCGTCAGACCAGATCCTTGTTCTTGTCGAGCGACTTGAGCAATTTTTCCACCAGACGATTTTCTAGCTCCATAACCCTCGTGCTTAGGCACTGCTTTTGGGTTCTCCAGCTTCCTTTTTTTATGATCTACTTTCAGTCTGTTTTTTAATCCCGAAAACATGCTGGTGATGTTTTCAAAAACATCGTCAAGTTCAGTTCTACATAGGCGACAATGCCACTTGCAACCGGGCTTACTGAGTTTAGTGTACTAAGTTTGCGTTAGGTCAGTGCAAGCGCTATGGAACCATCCGCTGCACGTGTCACATTGCATACCCGCCTGAACAGGTTGACGACAGCCCTGCCTCTTGCACATCTGTTTGGCCGCCGTTTTCGATGAAAGTACAAAGAGCGTACGTATTCGAAAAAAAACTGAAAATATAAACTCTGGAGAAGCTTGAAAAAGAGTTGGTAACCTAAACGTTATC